AGGACTTTGTGGATTGGTGTCATACATATGGATTAATGTTGGACTTGTGGGCTTGGGCAGCACTAGACTGGGATGTTTTCTTGATGCGCACTTACCCTTTATATAAAACTCTCTTCTACATGAGTTTCTGTGGATTTGTTTCTCTAAAGCACCTAGACTGACACACCTGGTCTTTCTGTCTCTCGCCAGTCAAATGGTTGGACTGAGGCCTACAGAGAGGGCTTTCTCAGCAACCCGTGAGCGGATTGTAGAATGTTCTCGCAGAGGTTCTGCTTGTTCTTAAATTCTTCAGAAATGGAAGTCACTACCAATCTCATAGACACGAAGGCCTTCCATCATTACCCCCGATGGACAGACAGTGAGACCCCTGGGGACCCCATGAGGTAGCATCCTTAGAAGGCCTGCCTCTCTGTTGGGTCTTCTGTGCAGGAAGAAGCCAGGAACCACACAAGCAAGTCCCTGGTGCCCTGGGATGGCCCATCGCATTGTCAAGCTGGATGTCCTACCAAAGAACCTCGTGATGGGCTCTCCTTTCTAGTGACTCTGCCAAACCAGTGTCCTACACCCTCACTCCCTTGTGAGTGGCTGGTCCAGACAGTTAGAGAATCCGTCCCAGAATCTAACAGATGACTTCCTCGGCCGCGGCTTCCCACGCTTGGTCCTAGAGGAGCCTCCACTTCCCAGAGGCCGCTTCCTTTCATTGCTGTCCCGGGTTAGAGGTGTCTCCAGTTTGGATCTGGTGACAGTGACCAGCCCTGGAGGTGGTTCACACGTGCCGTGGAGAGAGCGAATCTTTGTGGAGTTGGAAAGGCTGAGACTCAAAACCTGCCCCCAGTTATAAGCAGAGGATGTGTTTCATTGGAGTTTCCTATGTTGAGGGCCAAGGAATGAACCGAGGGAGTGGTTCACCCATCTATTTATCCACTCCCTCACTCAGCTGTAGCTAGGAAGCACCTACTATGTGCCAAGCACCGTGGGAGGCCCTGGGAGCACCCAAAGTGCCCGAATTCCTGTTTGGGAGGTCTGCAGGGTGGTGCGGGAGACAGACCATCTCAGTGGTGATTAGGAATGTTGGCCATGGCTGTCTTGGGATGCCCAGGAATGGGTGAGTTCACTGACATGCTCCTGTCATGCACAGAACTTCAGAGCGACCAAAGAGGCTCAGAGATCAGGATAAATAATATTCTATGTCGTATTTTTAAAAACAAAAATTAATGTAAATGTAGGCTCCTCAAAAAATCAAAATTGCAAGTCAAGGCAGGATCAATCTTACCGACTTCCCTTTTGCCTCATGGTCCAATATGGCTTGGTCTGGCACTGTATGAAGAGGAAGTATGGAGCGCAGCTATGCACTTAGAACAGGCATCTGACCCAGCCCATGTGGTCAACAAGAACTGGCTCCTCCCAGCCGATCTCTTTCCAACACCGCACGTAGGGACAGCTTGTCGGTAGTCTGAAATCAACCAACCTGGCAATATTTACACCACAACCATTGGCAAATGCTGAAAATCAGCGCTCCCTTTCTCTTTCTGGATAGTTGGTGTGTTAGTCCGGGTAGACTAACATCTTCCCATTGAAGCTGTTTCCAGGATCTTGTAGAATAAGAATCACGAGAGGAAGCGAACTAAGCAGGCAAAGAGGCGGAGGAATGGAAGAGTGTATGTTACGGAGAGAACTAGAAGGCGTGGTATGTGGTATGTTGCAGAAGAAGGACATTTCAAGGACCTTCAGAGAAGGTCACGACACCAGGTGATGCCTGAGATTCTACCTCTAGCAACAAGACTACAATTTGAGGAGAGCAGGGATACACCCTGCTTCTGAAGTGTCTGGTCGAGGTAGCGGTGGACTAATAGATGTCTAACAGGATGTCTGGAGGAGGGAGGAAACCTTGATCTGTAGCATCCTCCTATTTCTGAAGTGTAAAAACTACCCGTGTGGTGCCAGTGAATGCCAAGGACAGATGTAACCAACCAACCCACGAGCTTAGATAACAGCGAAATATAGTAAGATAATGAAACATTTTGATTCATTATGACTTGTGTTAGTCTGGGTTGACTAGAGAAACAAATCCAGAGACACTCATATGTGTGTATTGGAGAGCTTTATATAAAGAGTAATTGTACATTAAGAAAACATCCCAGCCCAGTCCAGATTAAGTCCATAGGCCCAATATTAGCCCATATGTCAATTCCTCATCAGATGTACGCAACACATGCAATGACAGGAAGTGCAGGAAGATCACAGGCCAGCAAGTGGAAAGTCTTGCGGCTCCAGTGGCGGTGGAAGTATCTTAGCTCTGGCGTGGGTCTCCACATGGCTCCTCCAGGTCCAGGGCTCTGGCTCCATCAGCGTAGCTCCATGTGTCCTGTCAGCAGGCAGAGGAAACAGAGAGTCAATCTGGCCTCCAGTAAGCTATATATCCCTTCACACCTCCAAATGGGGTCATCAAGCTGTGACCTGATGGTGTGGAGGCTAGACTCCACCCCTTCACAAGTTGACAGGAGATTGTGT